AAGAATGTTTAAGTTAAAGAATAAGAAAAACAAAAAGGGCAGAAAAATAAGAGAAAAAAGAAAGAACAGAATTTAAAGGAATGCAGCATAAAATAATTTAGAAAAAAAATAGAATAGAAATAATTACTAGAATGTTCATAAGGACAAATTTTATCGCTTATTTGAGCCAGAGAAAAAATAGGTGCAAGAAAAAAAATACTCATAAGAAACATGAAGCAATGTTAACAGCAAAACAAAAAATAAAAACAAAACAAAAATAAGCACAAAAATAAATTAAAATAAATAAAATTGCAAAAATTAAACAATGTAAACGTGAATGAAAAATGAAAAAAAAATTCACTTACCTGGGAAAGACGAACTTGTTTGCACTCCGTTCCCGTCGTCCAGTCGTTGAACCTCACAGAGCCGTCCGTCACACCAGATTGCACGCCTTGGTAAGCCATCCAATTAATAGTCACATTACCACCTGATCCAGCGCCATTCTCTACCAGACAGACTTTAAAACTACTCGTAGTGACAGACTCAACCCACGTGAACACTACGTCATGTACACGTGATGAGCTCGTGCCAAAACCAACTGACGTAAAGACTTTGACGGGATCAACTCCCGTGAAGGCTGTTGGGAAGGTGATAGTATCGCAGTAGTAATTGTCTGCGTTTGTCTGCCCGATGCGAAGAGTTCCATGCTGCACACCTAGAAAGAAATGATGAGAGTTAGAATTAAATCAGTTTAACAGGCTCTTCTAATTAGATAAAACTATTTTTGTGCTTTGGCAGAATGCTTTGATGTGAGCTTCTTAGAGAGAAACACAAATTAAATGCATATTTTTGCACACTGTACGCTTTTGACTACCCAAAATTGTTTCGTTAGGAATAAAACCAATTTTTTTTTAAACCAAAATGGTGTTACTTACCTTCAGTAGCGACGAGAACCGATAAAAACAACAACACGACYWGCGAGAACTTCATTTTTGCTTGCTCCACTCGTCACGACGACTTGTAGCAACTGAAACAGTACCTCGTAGTAACGCCCTTACATAGTGACTGTCTTGGCTTTAACATATTTGATCAAATCGTGTTTTCTTCGAACTTCAGTTCAAACGTCTTCACCAAAACAGAAGTAAGAATTTGATATCTGATCAAGGCAAATAGATCTAAAGTTCAATTCTCCTTTATCGAGAAATATATATCTTTAATAAGCGCAAAGAGAATTAGGAAGTCCATCATTTAATGCATTTGCCTTACGTTACCAAAAGCATAGTTTTAAGATAAAAATCTGTCTACAGTTGAGAGATTATTTGAAAATAATAGTTCCTTTGTTACAGATGAAAATACGTTTTCGCACAATCTTACAACTTTTTAAAACATTAAAAAGTTTAGGACAATATATGATTCATGCAATTAAAGAATCCATTTTAATGAAATGTTGTATWTGSCTGTAAATTACACAGTACGGAACATACACGTTAGACTTCCGTCTTTAAGAATGTTAGCACAACATAAGGTCAACTAGTCCCAATGCAGGACAATAGTTTGCATGTTAAAGGTCTTAAAAGCATTTACTGCCTTTAGGGGAAATTATCATAAATGCCATTCGTTTCATCGCAATATTCTTTGTTTTATCGCTAAGAACTAATGTCGCTGGAAGGGCTGCGATTCGTCGAAGTTCTACTTTAGGATAAAATATCAATTCTTCTATATTTCGACTATTTTTGAGCATCGTTTTCGATGTAAACATAATGTAACGTCATAATGAAATAAGGAATTACACTAGAAATCATCACGTTAATCCTGTTATTTTATTT